GCACCACCACCAGTCCACCGCGTCGCCCAGTCACGCGACACCGCCACCCCTTCGCCGCAGCACCAATCGGCCGCCACACCACCACCGTAAATGCACCGTACGCGGAGGCCCCGCCGCGGTCGCCGTTCATTGTGCTCGCCGGAGAAGTCACCAGAAAAGCCACCGGAATTCTCGCCAGAAAACCGACCCCTCATCCGTAGCCACCTCCTAAATTCCTACAATGCCGAAGAAGCCCACCAGTGCCCGAGTCCCATAGTGGAATGACGCTGACTACACGGTGATCGGAGGTAAAGCACTTGAACCCGACCAATTCTCTCCGGAGTTGGTTGATATGCTTAAATTCCAAGGCCTTTTGGATACCTACCTCGCGATTAAAGGGGATACATATCCCGGGTTGGTAAAGGAATTCTATTGCCATTTGGTAGCTACCAAACGAGGGGACAAGTTGGAGATCACCTCCAAAGTCCGGGGCAAGGAAATAGTGCTCACTGAGGGCCGCCTGACTAAACTCCTAAAATTCACCGCCACGGGTGTGTCAGACTATGACCGAAAGGCATGGGTTAGCACCCGAGACACGGGGTACAAGGATTATCTCGGTTATTTGTTGGGAAGAGAAGACGGTTTCACTTCGGCAACAAGGCCAATTTAGAAGATGTTAACCGCCAAACAAAAACTGCTAGTTATGATCGTGTCCGACAGCTTGTTACCCACTAACAACAAGAGCAAGGATGTGGAAAGCTTGGAATACTTCTCTAAGTGCTAGGTATTAAGACTTTAGAACATTAAGTTCGGACTCTAGGTGCTTAAGTACGTAGGATCTAGGAAGCTTAGGACGCGCGGTGAGGCTGTGAGTTTATTTTCTATTAATTGGCGTTATTCATGCTTTCTCTTGTTGCCACTTCTGCCAAAAATAAATTCTTGATTTGATCTAGTCTCCTGGTGTGCTTCACTACAATTTTAATACCTTGGCGCAGTGTACCTTCTAAAACATAACCAAATCCTCCTTCCCTCAAAAGACATTGATAATAGGCATTATTTCTTATATGTGTTGAATATATATTGTAAATTAGGTGTACCGTTTAATTAATGCATGTCCAATGCATGATTCTAATTAATTGACCAAAGTTCATGTTAAATTTTATATTATAATTTTGTTTGAAAATAACCATCAAAGCGAACTATTACTGTGAAATCAAATCACAAATACAATGAGGGATATGTGTGTCCCACACCTCCCGACCAGTATACGAGCAAGAAGCTCTAGCTAGAGAGTGAGCAATCACATTGGATGTTATATTTTATTTTTTTAATACAATCTAACATATTCATAGTATATGTTTAACAATTATGTCAATTTTGATTGGGATGTGGTTCGAAACCAAGACTTTCCTTATGAAAATCAATTAGTACGTTAAGAATAATAAATAGTTAACGAAATATTCGGTTACTAAAGTTTACACGGATGGAATACATGGGTATTTAGGAAAAGTAAATGATATAGTAGAGAGTAAAGTAGTAAAAATAATTTTTTAAAAATACTAAAATCAAAATAATATGAACCATTCATTTCAACAAATAATCACACCAACATTTTTTAGTTATCGTTAGGGACTTAACTTTATTGACTCTTATTATATTATATTATATATACTAGTTTTTTTTACGCGTTTTGCGCGAATAGAATAATGGCCAATAATTATTTTTAAACAAGTATTTTAAAGTATATCAATGCAATATTATATTGGAGATGTTCATGCATAGGTAAATAAATATTGAATTTGTTTATTTAAATTGATAATTTAAAGTATATAAATGCAAGATTATATATATGAGAGATTGATTATATTGTCACTAAAATAAATGTTTGCAACTTTGTAATAATGTTAGTCTAAATACTTAGTCTAAAAATGATAGTCTAAATAAATACTACTTTTGGTTTAAATTTTTCTAATTCTTCTTAATTCTCTTTTGGGTAGCATTGTGATTGTCTTCATCTTCAGTACATGTCTTTTTTTTTTATTATTTATTTTTTTTTATTGGTAGTGTATCATGTGCAATTAGGTTACTGGTGGTAATATAGATGGATTCATCGTGCAATGAGATTATGATGTAAGAAGTTTTAGATTTGCCTTGTTGTGTATATGATGGGATCTTAGTTGTACTATGAACTCTTTATCTTACAAGCACCTATTGATATTTGGTAGTGCCGTAGTGGTAGTTTTTCCCCTACATGTTTCATGCGTTGTGAGATGTGTGTCGTAGGTTATCATATGAAAGTGTTGAACAAAATATTAATATTTATTATATTTGTATAAAATAATACTTGGTAAATAAATACTCCGTATATATAACATATTTTGTATTATAACTTTGATATTTAATTACAAGATAACGTAAAAAGAAGACAATGGACAATGTAGTGAATATAATAAATTAATAAATTTGAAGGCAATGAATCTTTGAATTGTAGAAAATAAAGATAATATAACTAATGAAATTATATCTCTTTTTAAAATTTTTAATGAATAATTTTTTTAAATAAAGGCATTATAAACATCTAATTCTAAATTAATTAAATGCATATGTATTTTTTTTTTGTAGCTACTAATTTATTTAATTTAATAAGAGTAATAAAATGGTGTACATACTTTTAATCAAAAATAATGAAATCAATGATTTTTTAAATTTATAATCGTTGTTGAAACAAATTGTTTTGAGAGTTTGTCAATGACAATTGTTAGAATTCCTGTCAATAGAGGGTGATAATAAATAATTCAAAATATATAGTTACGATAGATATTGTTATAATGATATAGTAAAAATTAACTTACAAATTTCTTTAGAAGTTTTTATGCATTGATAAAATTCTGATGTGTAAAAACTTGTTTAATTGGAGCCAATGGGATGTCAATATTGTCAATTCTTTGAAAAATGGTCATACCATTTTAGAGTCTAGGTGTAATTGTATTTATGATCAACAACTTTGTAGTTTGGTCACGCAGGTCTGACAATGGTGTAGGAACAATTTTGTTCGATAAAAAAAAATAATAGTATAATATTTGTAAAGTAATGTACAATTGTACCATTATAAAAATACATTAAAAAAATATTAATACCATAACGACCTAAGTCATACCAATAATGCAAAGAAGATTAATTATACGGGGAAAAAAAAAACTTAACCTATTTTTTTTAGTGTTATACAGACTCTATTACAATGTAGTATCTGTATCTATTCATAAACTACTTTCTCAACCTACTGAAGCACAAAGAGTCATACAGAGAGTCAATGCTGACTCCGCTGAGGCTCGAACCCACAACCTCCCACATAGGGGAGTAACATGGTGCCACTTAACCACATAGGTTTTTTTTTTTTTTTTTTTTTTTTTTTTTTTTTTTTTTTTTTTTTTTTACATAAAAATCAAATGATTTTTAAAATTCTTGATTTATAATCTTTGATGCTTAACTTTGAATGTTATTTATTTAGTCGGACTAATTATTTGACCAAAGTTTATGTTAAATTTTATATTATAAATTTTTTTAATAGATTTTAACATATTCGTAGTATATGTTTAACAATTATGCCAACTCTAATTGGGATCGGATTCGAACCTAAGATCTTTCTTATAGAAATTAATGAGTAAGTTAAAAAATAATAAATAGTTAACGGAATATTCTGTTACTAAAGTTTATGCTAACCGAATTTAGGTTATTTAAGGGAAGAAAATAATATAATAGAGGGTAAATAAGGAAAATCATTAAAAACATACTAAAATCAAAATAATATGAACCATTCATTTTAAGAAACAATACCACCTACATTTTTTTGTTCTAGTTAAGGGCCTAACATTATTGACTCTTGTGGACATTCTCAGTTCTGATTTAATGCATTAAGCTTTTGTTCTAAAAAAAAAACATTATTGACTCTTATTAGAATGGTATGTATATGTATAGATGTAGATGTAGATGTATAATATATAAATAAATGAATAAATAATATATATATATATATATATATATATATATATATATATATATATATATATAACTCATGCACATTAATCACAGATCCGCTCACCTTAATTTTGACTTAGATGCAAAAATTACAAAATTGCCACCGCGTTTTTTTAAAAACTTTGATAATCCTGAACGTTGATTAAAGCGAGATGAATGGCTCAGATTAAACCGCACAACCGCACCTGAAGCCCTCACCCGCACGAGAACCTAAATATATATATATATATATATATATATATATATATATATATATATATATATATATACACACACACACACATTGTGGGTCGAGTGGGGTTCTAAGCGAACTTTATACATAGAACCTGAATCTAACCCGACCACCACGAGTTTACTTCTTTAAGACCCACCCCAACCCACCACTACTATCACACAAAAACCCGACCCATGGGCGGGGGAGGGGGAGGGGGGTGGTTTCCGGTGAATTAAAATTGTCATCTCTAATCAAGGCCCTATCTAAAATTATTATTATTTTTTAATTTGTTTTTTAAAAATATGCCTCATCTTGTTATCTTTAACTTAAAAGTATTTTTAAACAATTTATAATTAATTCATATAACCAAAATAGGCATTTCATGAAAAAACGATGTATGAGTGTATGTATACAATATATATATATATATTTTGAAAGTTACTGGCTCTATTACAGTATAGTATCTGTTCATATACTTTCTCAATCTATTGAAACACAAAAACACAAAAAAACCAATAATGCCTCCACTGAGACTCAAACTCATAATAATCTTTTAAATGGAAATCCAATCCGAATACTATTAAACCACATAGTCCTGATATATGTATACAATATATTTATATATTTTTTTAAAGATATTAGGGATTTAGGGGAGAGGTAGGGCGGGTACTTTCTGTTCCCAATGAAAAGTGAAAATCTCTCCTGTTCCCGCCCCTATTTCCTAAAATTTTCTCCATCAAATCAAATTCCTACTCAGAGACGGAGTGCGATTGACGTACCTAAATATTAGTAGGGTCTTATGGGCAAAAAAATTGTTTAATAATTAAGAAAATTTCATTATTTTCAACATATCAAGGGGTCATAGTGGCAATAACCTAAGGTAATATAATTCCCCTCTTTGCTTTGTTTACTTCCGGCGTCAGGGTTTCAGATATCGAATCGGGGCTCTTCTCGCCGCTTTGATTCCCTCCGTCAAATCCCCCGCCGGTAGGTGACTGTGCTAGCTCCGAGCTATATATTCTTCTCTCTGCATCATATTACAGTTCAATTAACTCTTTGAATATTTAATACCTAGCGATAATACATGCTAACTCGTTTCATTATTAACCACTTGTGTGTAATTTATTGAAATTCTTTCGGTATTGTAGAATTCATATTAAAAAAAAAAACGAAGAAAAATAAGCAAGTCATCGAAAATTAACGTTTTCATGAACTCTATGAGTCATACTTAGTGTCAATCTTGGATTGAGTATTTGAGTATCTCTAGTGCAGCATTTTATAACTTTGTAGATGTCAAGTTGAATCAAAGAAAAGATGAAGGAGGAAATTCAGTGTTTATTTATTTGTATGTCCTTGTTTGGACTTTGGATTGTAGGCTGCATTATAATATTTTTGTTTCTGTGTGAATTAACGTTATATCTGCATTTGCACTAGCAGGCAGAGTAAAATTGGTTTAGTTGGTGTTCTTATATGTTCATTGCTTAGCATATTTGCCTAGAAATCAATCTTAGAAAGAAAAGATTGTCCAATAGTATATGGAGAAGCGAGGTGTTTGTATAGTACATTAAAAGTTAAGGGGTAGTTTCTGAAAAAAGTTGATTTCAAAGTTCTCCACCACCACCTTCTAATTATTTCCATTACTTCCCTTTCTAATCAATCATAGTATGCTTGTTGTTCTACACTGATACTTTCATTTCCTTTCTGCTCAAATCCTTTTAACAACAAATCTTAGCTTTTCTGAATGAAGGCGAGATGGTTCTAAGACTGAAAAAAAATAACCAAGGAATCTTTTGACTCTAGCAGTGCTAATGCAGCTTGGTGTATGGTTATTAGTAAAACTAGCATATGGAGTTGGTCTTTCGGTAGCTTAGATGTTCTTTTGTCAGTTTCATGGGATTTTGGTTACATATTAGATTGCTATGTTAATCTTTGTTATTGACTCCATACATTGCCAAGTTTTCCTCAATCTCGAACAACAAAGTGACTTGAGGGGGTGGGCTTCTGTATCTGTGATAAGTGGATTGGATTGGATTCATCTTCTAATGCTTTAGTTGATCATTGTAAAACAATTTCTAATGCTTACATGTCATCATTTTTACAATGTTCTTTTTTTTCCTCCACTTGTTAGGGTTGACGAGTATACAATAGTTCTAATGGATCCTGAAGGTAGAAAATTTGGAAGAGGTAAGTCAGTTCACATACATACACAAATATGTATGTATATTAATTAATTATTTATGTATTTAATATTTATTCACACCTGCTATGTGATTGTTTGCTTCTTGGATGGTTGTTGACTTCTTGGTAGTAATATCTTCATTGCGAAGTTTATTTTATGCAACTGTATTTGTTTTCTAAATAAATTTGCTGTAGCTGTTACAGAAACTGTTATTTAATGGGTGTCTTATATAGTTATATTCTAATGTTTCCCACTTATTTTGTTTCGGTTTGCATTATTATAGATGCTGGCATGCTGCTTAATCCTAATTTTTTGAACAGTATGCATTTTGTTTAAACCTCAGTTCTTTTGCTGTTAGTCACCTATGAAACTATGCGCCTTTATCAGCTGATTACTACTAGCTAAAAAGTATTCCCTTATTATGTACTACTACACTTTATTTTTTGGCCAATCTGTGCTTTTCTAGTCACTGTTGATTAGAGCTTCACGATGATAGATTGGTTCGTGAGGTTTAAACCAGTGATAAAGTGACATTAGAGCTTCAGTATTGCTTCTGATCTAAAGCTGATCAGTTGATGAAATTTTTAATCATAGATGCTCTAACATCTGCTACCTGTCTTTCTTCTGTATTTTTCTTTTTTCCTTGGCTTTTTTATTACTATTTTTTATTAGTTTTGACTATTTTGTGATCTTTTGCTGTCATGTGATATTAGTCAATAAAAGTGGTTTCCAGAATGTGAGGAATTTATAAACAGTCATTTGACCATGTAAAAAATAAATGCAATTTTGAATTCTAGGTATTGAAGGGCCCTCCCACAAAAAATACCCACATTAACTAATATCACTCTCTAACCTTAAAGCCTCTGATGTAAAGAGCTAAGAACATTCTAAAACATCATTCATCTGAGCCAGTTCCTGTCAGACTTTGCTGCTAGCTTTTGAAGTTGTAGGATGACATCTTTTCACTTCTTACATCAACAGATAATATCCTCTTTCAGTAGAAAAGATGAAATAAGTGGGTTTAATTAGGAGTGTGACGATTTCCTTGGCTGAGGGACCAATTCCTTGAATTAGACTAACTGTAATGATTATTGGTGAAGTGCAATTTTGCCTCATTTCTTAAAAGCAGTATCAGCATAAGTATATATTTATACGACCTTATACTCATAAAGATCTAATTATACATTAATTCCTCATTAATAATTTCAAATATTCAATATTAGTTTGATTTTTTTGGATGTAAATATATGGTTATGGAAGAAGGAATTAACTTCTAATTGGATGTGCTATGATACACATTCCGCATTCCACATGTGCATGTGAGCTTTGACAAAGCTTGATACTATGTTACGAAATTGTGAAAGAAAATTTCCTTCAGGGGTCCGTTACGGAAAGATTTATTACTTTAAAAGTGGTTTATTTATTTTTGTTTTGTAGACCGAGTGAATTAGATAGTTTGTCATAGGAGAAACTTCTCCTTGTTGACTCATAAAGCTATAAATCGAGTTTTCAGGGCCTAGAGAGCTAGGAGGTTCAATTGATCTTCTAAATTATTATAAACTTGAGCGGCATCATGAATTTTTCTGCAAGAGGTCACTACCGTCATCAATTTCCAAGACTCAGTACCTTCACAATGTTGTGGGAGAGACAGAAATTAGGAAAGGAGAAGGAATGGAACTTGATCAGCTGTTCCAAAATTCCACTAGTGTGGGATGCGGACACAAACCGCTGCATCCTTTTCAGTTGGATGTTCTCATGGATGCTTTTCAGCTGCGAGAAGCAACTTCTACCGACCTGCCTTATGTAAGAAATATTCAACCTCTGCCTTTGATCTTCTGTGGTTGATATCTGATTAGTTTTAACAATTGCTGGCTTTGTGTCACTAGACAAAGAAAAGGGCTTCTGGTGGGTCAAATTTGAAAGGTGAAGATAGGGAGGAGAAGCATAAAAAACACAAACACAAAAATAGGGAATCAAAAAAGGACAAACACAAGAATATAGAGACAAAAATGGGTTCTAACATGCAGTCTCAACCCCGCGTTGATGCTAGCAGGAACAAAGATAAAGAGTATAAGAGAACTGTGGATCATAGTTTTGGTTATGACCACTACTTGAAACAAGAAAGGGTGTCAAAAATTTCTACTTTTTTGCCATTATAGTAAATTGCATTTGAAGAACGATGTTGAGCTTGTAGTCTTGTTACTTAACATGTTATTTTTTCACCAAAATACTTGTAGTCTTTTGTTTTCTTGCTGTGATTACCTTATTCATAGTTACACTTAATGTAGTCTTTCTGCTTCAAATCAGAAACTGTGCAGGATTTTTCCTAGCCTTGGCTATAGTGTATCTCACTTGTTAAGTGAACTCTGTTTTATAAATTACATTTTTTAAAGACTGTTAAGTGTGAAGTGATGGAAAATATTTTTCATTTTATGTTTTATTTTCGTTTTTTCTACATTTTTTCAACTGTTTTTATTTTTTATTTTTTATTTTTGTTTTTAAAATTTTTTACTACCTCTGTCTCATTTTATGTGTCGTAGTTCGGTTAATGAGGCTTTGATTGAAATTATTTTTAATTCAATTTTTCATAATATTAAATTTAGTATTAATATACTAAATTTATATATTTAGAAACTAAACTAAAAGTACTATTAAAAGCATGTCATACGCCACATTCTGTCATTTGTTATGCTAACCTCCACATCCACATTGATAGTATAAATTCCACGTAATGCGGTCAAGATACCAAACAAGATCAAGCCAAAACAAATAAAGGCTTTTATTGATCAAGAAAGAACCTAATACAATCTAAATGACTATTCCGAGGGCCGACTGACTGTGGTCGGGCAGCTCTGTAGATAGTCTATCGATCGTTCCAAAAGTCCCTCACACTATAGCTGCCGTGAGTACTTATAGCCGTTAGGCCGAAGACACAGTTCCGGCCAGCCGGCATGTAACCCACGTAGCATCCACGCGTCACCATCCTGTAAGCCTTCTCTGTCAACGTGTAACGCTGCCACGTGCCTCTTCTCGAGATCCTTAACAAGGATAGCTAATCGGGTGAGGAGGGTGCTCGGTCGGGAAGACTATCGGTCGGGTCCGACCGTCTTCTTATAAGAATATCCGACCTGTCAAACCTGCACAAAGAACAAGACAAATCGAGCCATGTCGGTCGGGATATATCCTACCAAAAGCCCCCCCAGCTCGGGCCTTTTTGACCGCTCGGGAAAAAACGGGAAGGGATGAAAAAGTCCAATCACTCGGCCTGCCATCCCGACTAGACAGCTGTCGCTTGTCGTGCCACGTGTCGGCTTCTGCGCGCCTCGGAGTCTGTAACGGTCGCGTCGCGCAAGTGGGCCGTTTTCCCGCCCAAATTTTTCCTATAAATAGGCGCTTCTGAGGTTCATTTGAACTTTTACCACTCTGCAAGTATCAGTCGGAGCATCCCGAGCGAATCAACCGAGGCATCGATCGAGCAAGCAGCTTCCAACTTCCAACTTTCTCAACTAAGACCAACCAATCGGTAAGTTTCTCTTGTCCCTCCTTGTATCTCCTTTTAACTCTTCTTTTACTTTCTTTGTACCAACGACCCCCGTAACTCATTAACCCCGACCGAAATAAAACGACCCCCAACGCTGAAACGACCGTCTCCTTTATGAAGGGGACATGTCAGACTTTGAAAGCTAAAACATCTCGGGCCCGGACTGTGATGATGCGGTCGAGCAACTCAATGAAGAGATAGAAATTGAGGCATCGTCGCCTGAAGTCGTCGAGGTCGTTCAACGTCCGAACAAGACCCCCGAACGCCAAAGCTCCTCTAGCTCAGAGAGCTCCTCGGGGTCAACTGATTCAGACAGCTCGAGCAGCGGCAGCGAGAGCAACAGCGGTACCTCGACAAATGACCGCGAAACCCGGTCGAGGACGTTAGGGAAACGCCCATCCGAACGATAGGGGATGACCCCGGGGCTTCTACTCCTGCCCACGATCGGGAAGTCACGCCCGAGCCAATGGAGGAAGAGCCGGCCGTACCAACCGTCAGACCAGAGCTCGTTTTCCTTAACAGTGAAAGTGTCGAGCAGCAAGAATGCTTGCTGACGATCGGTGAAGCGGCGAGGATCGCCGAAAGGCTGAGCGGTCGAGTTCGATTCGACACGCGGCGTTCCTTAGGCAATATAATGGAACGCCACCAGGGAAAGTGGATCGAGATGCACTATGATTCCCTGATGGCCCCGATCACTTTCCCTCTCTCCGGACTCTTGACCGCGTTCTTGGGCTATTACCGGGTATTACCCGCGCAGATATGCCTGAACGCCCACCGAATCCTGGCGTGTTTTCCTCAAATATGCGCTCGGCATGAGGTTGCCTGCTCGATGGAGCTTTTCAACTTCATCTACCAGGTCAAGACCTTAGCAGCGAAGTACGGGGGCGGTTTTTTAATGATACAGTCCCGACCTGATCTATGTACGATCGACAACCTGCCTGGGAACAACCATGGATGGAAGAACCGCATCTTCTCGGTTGAATACGACCCATGGATCCTCCCGGTCGACCGGACCTGGTCTACGCATTATACGAAACAAGTCCATCCGGTCGAGACCAAGGCTCTCCGGGATGCAGTCTTTCGGATCTCTAGTGAGATCCATGAATACAAGATTTTTCGGTCGAGGGAAAGCTATGAGGCTGCCCGACTGCCGCCACCTCAATACGACCTGGAGGAGAAGTACAAAACCCGACCAACGGGCGTATCGATAGCGATAGCGGTTACTCGGGCCAAACCGACCACGAAAGGTCTAACACCTATCTAACTTTCCCGATTGAAATTGTAATTTGCTTGCTTTAACCGTGTGATCTTTTGCAGATATGGGTCCTTGACGCAACTTCCCGTCGGGCAATGCACCGCGAGCCTCCCGATCCAAAATAGCGCTCGGAAAGAAGAAGGATGATGCCGGATCATCCGACAATAAGGAAGCTGAGGGTGAGGCTATCCCGAGCGGTCGCCCCTTGGGCGCTTCCACGATTACAACGGCTGAAGGGGTCGTGATCGAGGACACGACGACTGATGTCCTGGTCGCCCGGACGGTCGGCCACAAAGGGAAGGAGAGGAGACCGTGGCGGACACGGACGAGGGGGGCGCACTCAAGCGCCGAAGAAAGCAAAATAGCCCCCCGAGCGGGGCTATCATGGGCGACGACTCCATCCTCGCCCGTATAGGCAGCCTCCGACCGATCAAGGAGGACATCAGCAAGATGACGCCTGCACAAGTGGCCGAGTGAAGCGGTCAGGAGCTGGTCGAGGTAAAAATCGATCATCATGCTTATTTCGCCAACTATAGTTGATCGAGCTAACTCGTTCTGTTCTTGCAGCTATCCCGATCGATCCAACACCTTCAACGCCAAGCGATGCTGGCCAACGAGGCCACCGCTCTGAAGAAGGTCGTCGGTCGGCGTGGGAAGGAGATCACCGAGCTCCAAGACAAGCTGAAGTCGACCGAGAAGGCTTTGGTCATTACGGAGAAGGCGGCCGGGGCATCCCTGAAGGAAGTGTCCGACCTCAAGGCCCGATTTGGGAACCTTGGGGACCTTGCGAAATTTCTTTGCCGTGATGAGCCGTCCGGTGAGAAGTTCCTCAAGGAACTGATGAAGACCAAGGTCGGGGATGACCTTATCTGGCAGTTCGGGCATTGGGCCTTCAAGTTCGGGCAACGAACTATGCGGGAGGAGACCCGATCCAACATGGAGGAGGTCTTCGAGGGCGACGACTTGAAGTCTGTGTTGTCGACCCTCCCGGATGAGGTTGGCGACCCCGGCCCGGCGCCCTTCACCGAGCCAACTGAAGAGGATGCAGCCCATCCCAACGGGGCCGTGAAGGATGGGTACAAGGTCGTGTAGTTGCCGACCGTGTAATTTTGTTTTTTGGTTTTTTGTAAGTGGACTCCGTCGGGAGCCCGGTCCCGCTTTGTACCGGGCACCTTTTATTATTTAATAAAAGTCTTTTGCCAAACTTCGTCTGCTCGGTTTTTGCATTTTTATTTAATTGCTTCTTGGTCATCCCTTACTCGACCTTTGGCCTATTAGCCTCTTGATGATTTGTTGGCCTTTTCGTTCGGGACTTGCCCGACCATTTGGCCTCCACCTTAGCCCCCACACTGTGGCGCACACAAGGGACGAGTGAGTGCGACAGTGGAGAGAAGTTAAGCTGATCGGAGATATTTTGGTGTAGCTCTGCCATCCCCGATCGATGGCGTGACCCGAGTGTCCGCCGAAGATGAGCATATAGAGCCGGTCGTTAGAATTCGTCCGGCTAAGATGTAGATGGCTATTAGAGCCAATTAGGTGTATACCCCTATCGGTCGGGACCGAGGCAGAGGTGTGTACCTTGACCAGTTATGATTGAAATCTGACCCCGGTTTAATCGGGTAAGTTTAAACAACATTATGGTCGTGGGTCTGTCACCCCTCTTGTTCGTTGATGCTGAGTCTCGGTCGGGCGTTGCAGGAGCAAGACCATTTTCTGAAGCAGATCTAAACTAACCTACTTCGTACTTAAGCGATAGGAATAAACCGATCGGGCCGCCGTGTGCAAACAGTCGAGCAATCACCGATCGTAGATACATTAATAATTCTCACACGCAAACGGTTAAATATTTACAACATTTACAGAAGCAATTAACGATGAACGGGCTCACTCGCAGGTCGAGCCCCTACTCCATCTACAATTACATAACCAGACTAATGTCTGAATAAAACAAGGTTTTCCGAATTCCACGTACCCTTGATCAGTCTTCCGGTCGTTGTCTCCAACCGGTAAGTTCCCGGGTGCATGACAGCTGTGACAACATAGGGGCCTTACCAATTCTGAGCTAATTTGCCCCCTTCCAACGGCTTGCTCGCCTCTCGACACCGTAGAACGTAATCTCCCACTTGAAAGTAGCGAGGGTTGACCTGGACGTCCTTTGAGCTCTTAACTCTCTTCTGATACTCAGCCATACGCCGAGCGGCAATCTCTCTCTTTTCCTCGACCCCGTCCAGATCTACGGCCATGGAGTGTTCATTTTCTTCGGCATTGTAGGATCGCTCCCTGGCGGTCGGGATCCACGCCTCGATCGGTAGCCGAGCTTCAGCATCGTAAACTAAGGCAAATGGCGTCTCCAACGTTGCCTCCCTCGGGGTCGTGCGGTACGTCCAAAGAACATATGGGAGTTCATCAGCCCAGCTGCGATCGGCCGAGTGCAACTTCTTCTTCAAGCCTTCCAAGATTGTACGGTTAGCGTTCTCGGCTTGACCATTGCCCTGAGGGTAAGCCACTGACGATCGGATGGATGTTGTCCCGA